TAACGTCTGGCTTCTACTATCACGTGGTCTACATCATACCTTACGAACTCGAGGTCTTCTTTATTGCACCCTACACATCCCGTTTGTTCTGCATTGCGTATCGCAAGTTTATGATTGCCGAGTTATGGAAATCCTCTTGCCACTTATGAGCCTATATGACGATATTTTACAAATCACAGGAGATAAATGTACGTGTTGCAGAAAGCTTGCTGACAACAATTAGGAAACGATATATTGCTGAAAAAATTTTCACTTATCCTTTAATTTCGAAGATACGTCAGTTGGAAATAAAAATGACACGAAGAGATAATACATATCATACAGTAACGGAACATAAGTATTTTTTTGCTATCTGTTTTTTACGAAACCCAGTAAATTAATATTGACACGAAAAATCAGTCAAAATGAGAAGAGTTAAGAAACATGTTTAATAACATTTTTTGATAAAAAAATTTTCGTAGAATTCTAGCGCAATGATTCAATTTATCTAACACAAAACTCGATATATCATTTTTCATTCTTGTTTTATTATTTAATGAAATAACGCACTCTAAATTGACATTTGATGTGATTTTACAAGCGCCTTGTTTATTTTGTATCATGTTATAAAGATGCTGCTCCGGACCAATAACTACATGTTACCCGTGATTAAAAATTATGCCAACCTGCTAAATGTCCACATTTGGACAAACTAGGTTGAATTGAGATTATATAAAAAAAAAAGCCAATTTTCTACCATGAGAAGTGTTGTAACTACTTTGAAAAAATATTTAGGATCGTTAAAATAACCAATATTCACTCTTGAATAAATTATGGTATATAATTTTACAAGATGTTATTCTATTTAATTTCTTTCTATTTGTTGTATTGTTATAAATGTTCATTAGAAAATTTATACAATAGCAGGACCAACAGGTAACTGTTATACAAGTATATATTTTTCTTGTACATGATTACTATATGTATTTTATGTATGTATTAAATATGTATACAATATTACAAATATGTTGTAATATATAATTAGCCATTATATGATATTATATGTAATATTGTTACATTATATTATATTTAATATTGTATATTATATAACAAATTATGTATAACTAGCTTCCTTTTTGTCAGTAAATGTATGTAGAACTTCAGTATTTTTTTTGTTCAATACATTCTTTATATATTAATCATCAAAAATAAAATTTCCAGTGCATATATAATACAAGTAAATAAAAAAAAAAAAAAGTAAATCATCGGCTGCCATCATATCGTATTTTCAATTAAAGTACTCTCATTTAATTCCCTATTAATTCATTTGTCTACGACAACAAAAATATCAGTTTATAATTAATCGACAAAAGTATCTTTCTGCTTTATACTGTTTCAGTTTGACCCTTCCGAGAAAATTTACATTGCAAAGTGGCCTGTAGAATATTTCTGAGAAATAAAACTCTGTCACAATTACACGAATACTACCCATCTATAAAAAAAAAAAGACTATCAGAAGGCTATAACTATGGAATTTTTC